CCCCCTCCGTTATGGGCCATCACATATGGAAACTCATTTCTTGGTGTCTTTAATTACCCACCAAAACAGATCTACATGTAGTTATTCTTGCACTTTTGTTTCTTGTACTCCTTTGATAAACCTGTATGGTACTCAGCAGGTTTTAAATTGAAAAAAAATACCAGGTGAGCTATTAAGGCCCCTGGGCCTCTTGTTTTTTTTCAATGATACTTTACCAAAACGTGTTAAATGAGTATACCAAGGAAAAAAACTAACTATTTCATGAATATAACACTTACATTTTGCTATGGCATGCAAAAATTCCTATATGGCGTACACTGTCATGTGTCACATGTATTTATGGCGTAAATTCCCCATATTTTAGTGTGGCCGAGTCTGAAGCTGGTTTTGCACGAGATGTATTGAACCATCGGTCATTATATGACTGTCTGAGTAACGTGTATTATAAATATTTGGATTGTCGCATACTAGTACTAGAGGTGTTAAGGTGTTCTTTGTCACATATCGATGTTAGGTCTATCTTATTGTTTCAGATCCTTTGCTTTCAATTTCATGAATTCAAAAGTGTATTTAAGTCTTCCCTCTACGCTTCTCAGACAGTATGTCACAGACTTGGTCGGCATACATCAATGACGTAATAGTATATACCATGTATATATATGCGATAGATATAGGAGTACTTTTAACTGTACTTGCATTGACTCATGTGTATAAATATTGCCAATCCTGCATGTTAACGGTCTATTAATTCTATAATGATCAATGAAGTACATCACTATAGCTACATTGTGAGTGTACATGTAGATCCTCCTGAAACACGGACTTCGATAGCTAATCTAAAGCCGTGCTGAAACCTAGAAAATGGCGGTGAACAAACTTTAAAAGGAATTATTATAACCATAATTATAAGGAGGCAGTACCCAAATCGGATCAGTATCCAAAATTGGATAACTTTTTGCAAAAATACTTATAAATAGATAAATGTGTCAACAAATCAGGTATAACAATGATGTAGTCTTAGAATAGATAGCCATGCACCATTTTTTGTCTACAGATAATTAGTTTTTAGCAGAAGAAAACGTAATTCAAACTCAAATGCCAGTGTTTTGATTATGTTTTAAAAAAATTGGCGCGTGCGACGACTATGCATTCTGTTTTGGAAGACACACTATAGAAATGCTTTTTGTCATAGAAATTCTAAAAATCATCATAAAATGTTAATGGGTTCACAAAAAAATATTCATTTGAAGCGTAAGATACTGCAAAAATTCAAGCGATGATCCGATTTGGGTCCTTACATTTGCAAAAACCGGAAACGCTGATTGGTGACTTCAGTGCTAATTTCATTTGTAAGAACACCCATCGTTATTCTTCCTTTGATGCAACCATAAATGAATATAACTCCTCCTAAAAAAATTCAAATAAAATGATGGTTTGGTGATCCGATTTGGGTACTGTCACCTTATGTTCTTAAAACTTGAGTCCTGAATATTATGTTGAATACTCTGTTATCCGTTAAATGTTAAGATTATTTGTGTAATGCCGGTAAGTTAATAGAGCTATGTAGAGGTTTAAAGAAATATTTAGACATTGTATTATAAAATGTTTTATTTACTTTTCAACATGAAGGCGTTTGTAACTATGGCAGCACTGGCTGAACCACAGAAGGATGGAAAACAGACGATTGTTGATGACTTCATGTATGGCTCCAATGTGGCTTCCTCTCATGTATACATCCGCATGGGTCAGTGTTCTACTGTATTGCTCTGCAGTTATTTCAAACCATCGATGAAAACAAATGTATTTGTCGAAGTCATATACAACATCATTGTGAGAGAAATCTACCTGTTGGTATTGAAACATCTCTAAAATTTACCTGTATATAACTGTAGTGGGAAAATTGATTTTAACTATCATATATAAAACATCGAAGTATGTGACAAATTAGCTGGCAATAAGTTATGGAGAGTTTGATAATACAGTATTGAATCTGGTAGGAGAAGGTTATAGACTTCAAGAATCCTCTATCTACATCTTGTCTTTCTGTATGATGGACATTTAAAGTAGACATGAAATACATAAAGAAAGCCGACATCTAGGTAAAAAAATTGTTTAAAGAAATACTTGAGTGAAATATGAAAGTTCCATGATCTATTGCATTGCAAGAAAACATGCTAATAGATTAAATGAATGTCTGTTTTATGCCTCAGGTTTTCTGCGGAAGGTGTATGGCATCCTCACCACACAAATCCTCGTAACTACCATTGTAGCAGCCGTGTTCATGATGAACGAAGGGTTGGCCAAGTTTGTACAGATAAAGTAGGTCATGGTCCTTTAATCTATTAACTTGTTTAATGGAGGGAAATTACTATTAAAGATAAACACAAAATTATATTAACAAACTTTTAAGTCACTCTTTTTCAATTAAAAGAATTGTATGTTCTTCATTAAAATCAGAGTTTTTAATGAATGAAATTCTTAACAAGATGTTTTCTGAACACCTGAGAAAACCTGACTTTCAGTGTAGTATACCTAGTGCCGTGCAGGATATAATAATGATCCCAGTCCTGTTTTATTATAACATTCTAACTGAAGCTTGTATTAAATTGAATTTCACAAAATTGAATGAAAAATAAAGGATGCTCGATACCTCGAGAACGGTTTGTGAATTTGACAAAGTGAATATCAGTACCACACACTTCTGGAGAATTTTTAGAAGGTCAATCAAAATCCTGAGGAGAACAATCTGAAGAAGCAAATAATATGCTGATAGGCTCAGGTAAGCAGTGAGTGGGGCTACAGTAATCTCTCAATACTATTGCCCTTGCTTACAGTCAGTGGATGTTGTTGGTGGCCTTTATAGGGACGATAGGTATACTGATGGCTCTGATGGTGAAAAGGCAGGAAACTCCCACAAACTACATCCTGCTCGGAATATTTGTAAGTAAAATCATTCAAGCTACATCTACCATAGAGTATGTGCAAGTTAACATCAATAACCAACTATCTTTCCTAAGAGTCTTTATAAGTAAAACATCCACAAACATTACCCATCTACCATTCTTGTAAGTAAACATGTACATTATTCAAACTAAAATAAAAACAAACTTTATCCTTCTAATTGTCATTGCAAGTTAAAACTTCAAAATTTAAGTGTATTGCATGCTACTTTAATCAGATCTTTAGTCTGGAGTTGAATGGGTTCATAGTATGATAAGTAAAAAAGTGTGTTAAGAATGAAATGTCATAATTTGAAAAGTAAATAATATGTATGATGTTCATTTCAGACGCTGTTTGAAGCCTATACTGTGGGTGTTGTTGGTACGTACAGATATTTGATTTACAGTTGTAAAAAGATTAAATTAAGAGCTGTAGGTTTATTGAATTAGGATGCTGCAAACAAACAGTGTAGGAAAAAGATTAAATAAAGAGAAGATATCTACAAATCAGTAAAATATTTTTTACAGGAAAGTTAATTTTTAATTGAAAAGCACTTTTCAACAATTTATCACAAATACAAAGTGTTCGATTTCAGTGATCTCTTTACAAGGAAGGAAGAGATAGACAGAAAGAAATACTGATTCCGTTGTATTGATTTGTTAAATCTAATTCCATTTTCATGAATATTTGTGTTTAGTGACGTTTTACCAAGTACACAGTGTTATCGAGGCCTTCGTTCTAACACTAGCGGTGACCACAGCCCTCACAGCCTACACTTTACAAAGTAAACGCGACTTCAGCTCATGGGGAGCAGGGTATGTATTATATACAAAATAATAAAAAAAATAGGTAATCACCTCCTGTGTTGTTTAAATCATCAGTTTATGCTCCTTTAAAAGTGAAAGAAATTGTTGGCAATCAATTTCCCTTAAAGGGGTCAGAGAATTTTTGTCTGGTCCTGGAAAGATATTAGTTTTTGCATTATGTTGCTTTAAATTTGAAAAGCTCTTTTTTAAATTTTGTGATTTTTTTTTTAAATTGGACTATTACACAGTAAAGTAAATAGAGATTGATTCAAACATGTAAAGTAAGATTCTTTGCACTTTAACCTCAATCTAGGACCTTGACCTTGGGTATAAGAACCTATATGATAGTGTAACAGACTATTTAGTGTGTACTTTAATAGATCAATGTCATCAATCTTTTCATTAAAGTTCGGTGCAGGACAGATGTTTAATGGATCTTTAACAAAACATGTAATGTGCGAAAAAAAGAATATCAGTGCTAAAATGTTACTTGATTCACTGGCACATTATATACACTGAATCATAGCTGCAATAAATTTACTTAACATTTGTGAAATAAATGTTTATCAAGCCTCTGTTTCTGTTTGAAGATTGTTTTCTGCTCTGTGGATCCTCATCATTGCTGGATTTCTCCAGGTAACATTTCTATAAGGACAGAGTAACATTTAATTCAGATATAGTCTACTGTATAACATATTATTTTCATAAAAACCTTTCTCACAATTGAACTTCAAATGACACAATAACAAGGATTTGAATTCAGTTTGTCTGAATTTAGATTACAGTTATAGAATATAGCAGTTGATTCTCTTCATATTGATGCAATGTGTTTAGATAATATTTAAAATGAGTTAGCAACAATCTGTTACTACAGGTTCTAATTCACTTGGTATACAATTTACTTTAATAAATAATATCAATCAAAATCCAGTAGTTTCCTTACCGGACTATTATCACACACATCTTAAGTTAATTGGTGGTTTGGATTTTGAATCTGTTTGTGAAAATATTTTAAAATAATGAAAAATTGATAACTCTATCACTATCGGTCCTAACTCTTCATTTGTGTTAGGTCATTAAATGTCTGATTAGTTAGGACAAAATCTCCAAAATGAAAAAGAACTGTAGGGTTGATTTGGTGGACCTTTGCAAAATGATTGAATGAACAAGTTTATGCACTAATCAATATCAACTACAGTAGTAATATCATTACAAATTTCATTGTATGTCTACTGTTATTTTCTGGTAGATACTGTTCCCGACCGCGATGATGGACAAGGCTATTGCTGTGGGCGGGGCTCTTCTTTTCTCTCTCTTCATTATTTTCGACACCCACATGATGATGCACAAGCTGAGCGCAGAGGAGTACATTGTAGCAGCGGTCAACCTCTATCTGGACATCCTCAATCTCTTCCTCTACCTCCTCAGACTGTTCGGGGAGCGCAGAAACTAGTGGACTGAGTTTTGGGGCCAAATTTATTCCTTGTCTTTTGGTTCCTCCGCAAACTGGTTGAGGAATGCATAAACTAGAATGTTGAATTTTAGAGGCCACAACTCTCCAGTCTCCTTCTTAACCTCCTCCGACTGTTCGGAGAGTGCAGAAACTAGTGGACTGAAGTGTCGGGGCCAAAACTCTTCATTGTCTTCCTCATCCTCTGCAAACTGTTTGAGGAATGCAGAAACTAGAATGTTGAATTTGTAGGCCACAACTCTCCAGTCTCCTTCTTAACCTCCTAAGACTGTTTGAAGCAGAAACTAGTATGTTGGTTGTTTTGGGAGTACAATATTTAGTATACTGAACTAGTGGGGCTGCACTAATTCAGTTTCTCCTTCCCTTACGTCAGACTGCTTGGGGAGTGTAGAAAATGTAGGATGAAATATCTTATCTCTTAATACAGTGAAATCTTGTTAACGGAGTGATGTAATCAAATTTACTTTCAAGATAATTATTCAGAAAACTTTCAAGACCCATATACATGTACCCAGAAATGAAAATGGTTTTAGATAACTTCTTGATTAAGGATATTTTTGTTGTTGTTTTTCAGGAACAAAGTATCAAGTTTTATAAATCTAAGTTTAATATATCTGTCGGCTACAAACTGCTACTGGTCTATTAGAAAGTCTTACATTTCATCTCTAGTTGGACCAGTTTCGATCTTTAAAAAAAATCAGCCCTAGAGAGGTAAACGTGATTTTAATGTAGAGTTTGCAGTAATCATTTCAGATACAAGGTACTTGGTACTTGTAACAGAGTGTGAGAATGTTAGATATTGGATACAAATTGTGATATACATTTGATGTGTAAGCTGGAGTAAGACCGTGTATAGGACTGTTTTCATTAAGGACAACCATCAATTCAGAAATGTGTGAGCCTAAAAACTTCCTTGTTGCTGATATCGTTTCGAGAAAAGGCACCCTTTCAGTAGGTTGTACATATTTTGGAGCGCTCTCAGTCGGTGGTGTATTTCGTGAGAAAGTAATCCAAAATTCTTTCCTTAATGACTCCAGTATATATGTAATATCGCTTCATCCATTCCTGACAATGTTGTAAAATTTAATTATGATGTAAACAAAATATATGTGTATATATATATTGGTATGGTGCAGAGTGAACTTTCTTTCCATGATAATTGGGCTTGCTTTATCAACGATGTAATTAACAGTATTTCCCTCATTGGTGAGAAAGCTCATTGTTAATGCATTGCTAGTTGTTTTTCAATCTCTGTTGGGTCATAGCTTTATATTTGTTCTGGGCAAAAAGTCATATTCTTGGAACATACGTCGGTACATTAACATACGTCGGTACATCTGTAAAATAGCACTCTACTACTTGGTACATTTACTACAGACATACTTTAACAAGTTTGTATATGGTATATGAGACAATAGGACTGAAATTATTGTCCTAAGGTAGCACCCTACCCTTAAATACTGGACACTCTGCATTAGACATTTCATTTTTTTTTTTAAATAAACCAAACATTCAAAATTCATTAAATAATTTCTGATTACGTTTCTGAAAAACATTTTTTTCCCCGAGTTTAATTGTTCTAAACTTTTTTTTAAAAAATTCTAATATTTAATTCTGATCAGGGTTTTGCTGCACTGGCTTGGGTTTCATTACTATAAAAGCTGCTGTTTAGTATGATTTGGTCATTGTGGTTGCGTTGCCTTGTTACCAAAAGTAACTTCAGTCAGACCTGTCTCATGATCGCGATCAAGATCCAGGGGAGCTCACTGTAAATTATGTACAGTAGGTATAAGCTTTGTTTTCTCTGCACTGTGTTTGGAAACTGTCAATAAACTTGTTAGTGGTAAGTGTTGGGGAACTTTAAAGCAGTTTCATGTGTTTGTAACTAGCTGTGCTGGTGTTGTGATATGGTTATACTCCATTTAATCTATACCAATTATTTTTATACAGGAGTTAAAAAAAAACCCCAAAAACCCCCACAATTATGAGGTACCTCATTTTACTCAGCCCTTTAAACAGAACCAGGGATACATTTGTATTACAGTGTTTTACATTTAAATTTGATCAAGAAAATTGTTTATGCCAATTTTCTGTCAATATGCAAGAAGTCGTCTGCTTTTATGGAAGCTGCCATTTTTGATCTTCAAAATATTGATTAAACTGGATTGAGAGGGGGAAAAAATAGGAAAAAGTAAATAAATATTGATTAAACTGGATTGAGAGGGGGAAAAAATAGGAAAAAGTAAATAAATATTGATTAAACTGGATTGAAAGGAAAAGAATAATCGAAAACAATTCTGTGTTCTCAAGCTTACCACACAGTAATTGAAATTTGATTTTTGCACAAAATTCCCATCTTGTTGGTATCAAACCACCTGAAAATTTTACAGATGACAACATCAACGAAACTTCAGCTCAAGAGGTATCTCAGAAATCCAGCAGAATTGTAGACAATGACAAGATTGAGGTGTTAAAATTGATTTCATATTTATTAACACCTGTATGAAAATACACTACTATATGTATAACAAAAACATGTTAAATATGGATGTAAACAGATTTATTTGTTTATTATCACATACATTTACATTGTAAATTAAATCTAATAATATGCTTATTTAGTTGTAATATAGAATTGCCTATAATCAGATTTTTAATAAATTCTTGAGAGGCATAACATTCATAAAAAATAACATTCTTTACATTTTGAATATTCTAAATTGTTTGTTTTGTTCACTTGTAAATCTATTCCTTAATGAAGATTATTTCTAACATAACTGTATTTCATATACAGATAAAATATGTTAGGACTATGATGCAATTAAAGTTGAATGATGAAGATATTTATATAAAGTTTTGTTTTTATAAGTTTTGGGTGCGTGATGTGTATATGTATTTCATGGTAAAATAAAATTCACGTTAATGTATTTCTTCTGTTTGTTATGTTTCTCGTTGATTTTGTTACATCCAGGTATAGGTGGCCATGTTTGTTACCTGTTCCCCCTATGTAGTATTATAAAGGGGACGCATTGTCACTAGGCCAAATTATTCTGACGTTTTATCGACTTTTTTCATATCGGTCTGTCGTCGATTCGATAAAACGTCGGAATAATTCGGACTACCTTGTCACCTGTACCTGTAGTCAAACCACATGTCTGATATTTAACTCGCCTTGTTAAAAGTGCCTGCGAGCTTGAAGGCATGTTGCAGTGTTGTCATCCTTTTCTTTGAAAAGTAACTTCTTGAGAACCAAAAGACCTTGGATCATGATATTTGGCAAGTACTTTGGTTGGTGGGGTTGTGCTATAAAGTAACATAAATCACCTTTACCTACTTTCACGGTCACAGGTTCAGTAAGTAAGTAAAAAAAAAAGGTTAATACAACATACCCTACTACAGGGGCAGTATTCCAACAAATAATTATAATATCGGAACAGAACAATAACACAACAGTGAAGCTTACGTACCATTGTTGTCGTCTGCTTCAGTCACTCTGAAATGGGGTGTGGACTGCCTGTAGCTCATTATCTTTGAGAGGCTTTGAATATGGGAAATAATACCAAAGGAAACTCAAGTGCAAGAGGGATTTTTTTTATTATTTCCCTGTTTTGTGGTCAATATAATCCAATCAGACATGCTGTTGTGTATAGATGAATTATTTTCTAAAGAACCACGAAGTCTAGAGCTACCAAGCTTGGGTTGGTGCTGAGAGCAGCAATGCAATCTTATTCTAAGACTACCTTGTATTGCAATGATGTAAAAGGTAAATCTTACCTATGTAGCAGAACTGGATCAAGTCCATCATCGGCGACCAGACAGCTCAATTGGTAGAGCATCCATTTAAGAGTTTGGAAGGTCCAAGGTTCAAATCCCAGTCTGGCCTTTGCATTTCTCCTGTCTTGTTTCAAGCAATGGATGGAAGGGGATATCCAAATCTGAGTTGTAAATAGTGTTGTCTTCGGGGGGTTAAGACTTAAAAAAAAGGAGGGAGGAATGTAGTCAAACTGGACTCTGTCTGGGGTTGATCATTGGCAGCCAGATGATTTTAGAAGGTCCCCAGTTTGAATCCTGATCTGGCTGTTGCATTTCTCTTTCTCCTGTTACACCTGTAATCCCTGGCTGGAGTTAAAGGTCAACATGTGCTATAATGGTTCTAGCGCCATAATTGTTCGCAGGTACCATAGATGGTGTGCTAACGAAGTTCTTCATATTTTGACCTCGCCCTACTTTCAAGACCCAGACACTAAATAAGACTACAGGCCCTCTCCGGGCCTCTTTCGCTCACCTGAATATGTTTGAAATAATTGGTATGAAGTAAAGATATAGCACTCCATGGTAGGTGCTGTAAGTACATATGAAATTTCAGAAAGATCCATCCAGTACTTGAGATACATGTATATAGTGAGATTTTTTTTTAAACAGAGCCCCACCCCTATGCCAGGGGGGGGGTGGTCATACCCAGTGTTTATACAAAATTGAGTCCCCTTGGCCAAAGGATGCTCCAGACTAAATAATGATAAAATCCCTTAATCCCAACGGTCGAAGAAGGATTTTAAAGGTTTTGCCACTATTTCCCCTATTGGGCCCTGCCCCTCAGGTCCCAGGGGGGCCACCCCCACCGTTTATACAAAATTGGTTCCCCTTTACCCAATGATGCTTCAGACCAAATATGGAACAAATCCTTCCATTCCTACAGAAGTAGAAGGATTTTAAAGAATAATTTGCTGTTTCCCCTATTGGGCCCCGCCCCTCAGGCCCCTGGGGGCCAGACCCACGGTTATACAAAAAAATGAAGCTAAGGTCTTGAGCCCTAGATCTTCTGTATATATTTGGCTATACAGATCATACAGAGGATGTTTCATTAAGATATAACAGAATGAACTGACATCAGTTTAGTTTTACTAATACAATTTTATTTAACAGGATATAAGAAGGTACACTTGTTGTAAACATTTCCACAAATATTTTTTGATTATCTCCAAATCAAATGATTACAAAAGAACTTTTTCATTTGCATAATGGCCTTCCCTACCATTTGATCCTAAAAATCCTGAAATGACCCAATTCTGAAGTTGAAGTACATGTATATAAAAATACAGGTATTTTTTTTTAGTTGAAATTGATAAAACAAGCCATAGAATTCCATGATTAAAAAATATTACAGAAGATTAAACTCTGTGACAAAAATGAACACCATCTAGAATTATCTCTCCTGTTAAATTACAGTAGACACATTTTCAGGTTAAAGAGGTGAATTTTGGTGCATAACAAATGAATACAGTGGGTCTAGTTGAATCACGTAAGGAATTAGATTATCTAAGTACGTGGTTGAATGTATATTTTATTCCGAGGATGGATTGCACTTTATCGCATCTTAGATGGAATTATACTCGGTTCAATTACATGTACATGCAGTTCATACAGTAAAATAATGCTGGAATTTCCAATTCAACATACAAATCATAATGCTTTTTTAAACAAACTTTTTGGGATAAATTTTTCAGAAATTAATTTATTAAAATATTTGGGTATTCTATGGAAGGATTCATCGCCTTCTTGAAAATACAAACCAATACACTGTACATGTATCTATAATTAATCACAAAAATATGTATACTTCTCTTTTACAAATGGACAGCAGAATGTTTTTACAGTATTATAAGTCAACCAGAGATTCTACTCTTTGATATATGGCCAATTGTTCACCAATGAAGAAATGAGGTTTCATCTGTGACTAGTTTAGTATCAAAAAGAGCTCTGTATTATTTAGGTTTCCTTTGTGACAAGTTGAAATTCAGAGCTCTGTGTAAATGAAGACATTTTTATCATATGAGGACTCTCTAAAAGAGGGTCCCCAATGTGAGGCCAATTTGCCAACTTAAAATCTGATGCCGAGAGAAAATTATGCTAAAAAAATGTTTTCTGGCCTCTTCCCCTACCATGATCTGCTAACTAAAACAGCAGCAGCATTCATGGGCTAACACACAATGAATATTATTATACCACATTATACATCACAGAGAAAGAATATCAACAGCTCACCAGGATAGTAATGAGAGAAACATTACCGGGATAACTTAAAGGGGAAATAGCTCTCCGCTTAATATAACTTAAAGGGAAATAACTCTCCACTTAATTTTCCGTCTGAGTACAGTATTCGTCATACAAATACAACATTATTATTCTCTCTCGGTTAGATACAAATAATTCAATCAACCATTTCAACTTATATGCTAATACTTTCAATTAAACAAATCATTACAAGTGATGGCACAAAACATAAAAATAATCACAAACGAAAAATAATACTGAATACACCAAAATAATCAAGAAAAGAGACATTTCATATTGTATCACTGGTTATAATTTGTAAAAGGCTACTACACTGGCACATATTACACGGGAACACAATCCAACAAAACAAACTTTTTAAAGTTTTGTAAATATAGGTAACCAGGATAATGCTGATATGTAAAAAAAAAGAAAAAAGGTAAGGAGACAAAAAGATCACTGGTTTGATTGTGACAGGAATAACACATATCTAGTTCAGTAAATAGTCAAAGGCAACAATAAATTTGTCTATTTCACCAAATCTTCAAGTTAGTAAAGCATCCCAATAACTCATTGTTAATTTATTTTGGTAAATTTCTCACATGAAATACAGTATACCAGATAATGTTTTCACAAAGTTTTACTGTCGCCATTTTTGTCTCCGACATGATTGGAAGAGCAAATTTTAATGTTGCACAACTATAGTGTATGTGTGGGCAGAGCATGATACAAAAGGGATCTCATACAGATGACTATGCCATACAATCAGGATTCAACACAGAAACTTTGGTGATATGGTCGTAATTTTCCACACAATCAGGGGACAGCCAGGGACCTCCTATTAAATGGTTTATAATAATAATAATAATAATTCGAGGTTCTTATATACCGCTTTATCTCAACCTAGTTCATACTGGTTGTCTCAAAGCTGTTCACAAATTATTATCCGTGGTTATTGGGCCTTTGCAACCAGCCAACTCCCTGGGGAGCATACAGCTGGTGCTGCCATTTCGGCGCTCACAGCTAGCATTCAACAACTCTAGCACTACCCAACCACATACTCATTTACAGCTGAGTAGACTGGAACAAGATACAACACATTGCCGTGCCGTGGGGCGTGCCCGCAACCCTTCGGTCACGAGCCCGGTGTCCTACCACTAGACTACTGTGCCTCCATATGTAGGTATGTTTCAATTTGGTTACAGTCTACAGGTGTAGCATCATGCCTTTCATGTGATTTATTTACTTTTAAATATTGATAGCTTTATCTGGACCGTATGTCACGTGTAAACATTCCTAAAATCCTTTAAAATATCAAAAAATCTTCAATTTTGGCTGTAAAAAAGTAATTAGAGGCTTCAGAATAGCACAAATGATTCAATACTATGATATATGCTATATAATTTATTATTTAAATGTCTCACGAATTTCTCACAAATTCAAAGAAAAGATCTCACTATTTTTGACCAAATCTCACTAAAAATAATCACTGATCTCACTATTTTGCACCGGAAAGTTATGGCATGTATGAGCATGGTATTGTGAAGCATGGTGAAATTAACCGTGGTTCATATTAACATAATGGTGAAAGGAACCGCGGTTCATATTACCATTATGGTAATATGAACCGCCCCATAGTGAAATGGTTTTAGCATTTTTTTTTTCTATTTGACTTTTTTAAACCAAATCTGGTTTAGATTACATTAGTTTGATGTCCTGAATGTAAAAATCACAGAAATTAAGTCTCGGGTAGAGATATTTAGGGTAGGGCAGGGGCACTTCACTTTACCATTATGGTGAAATGAAGGGTTTTAGCAATTTTTTTTCTATTTGAATTTTTTAAACCAAATCTGGTTTAGATTACATCAGTTTGATTTCCTGAATATGAAAATCAAAAAAATTAAGTCTGGGGTAGAGATATTCAGGGTGGGGCAGGGGTGCTTCACTTTACCATAATGGTGAAGTGAAGCACCCCTGCCCCACCCTGATTTTCTCTACCTCAAACTGATGCAAAGTAAACCAGATTTGGTTTAAAAAAGCCAAATAGAAAACAAAATGCGAAAACCCTTCATTTCACCATTATGGTAAAGTGAAGCGCCCTACCCTAAATATTTTTACCTCTGACATAATTTTTGTCATTTCAAATAGAATACATAAAATTGAAGTAAACTTAAAGAAAAAGAATGGAAAAAAGTTGTCATAATAGAAAAAGTTGGAACCCTTCATTTCACCATGGGGCGGTTCATATTACCATAATGGTAATATGAACCGCGGTTCATTTCACCATGGCCTTCATATTACCATACTACACTGGTATAGTTCCACCACAGTTTTCCTTTGGACTCTTTCACCCTCCTTATTTAGGGCGAATATATAGCATTACAGCAAATATTAGTACACACTATTCTACGTGCATGTTCATTACATGAATGATAACGGCAAAATTATACCACTAGGCTTTTATAGATTTTACCAGTGAAGGGCAAAAGTTTGACTGTATACTATATAGTATATTATGCATGTATTATTTCTAAAACTTTTATGCATATAGTATCTACCAAACGACACATTATGATTGAAAAGAAAAATAAATTTCAAATAATATTTATAATAGTAAAACAATGTGAAAGGGCAAGGGTGTAAAGGTCAAGTTAAGCTTTGGGGCTATTAGATATTTCACTCGCAGTGGAATTGAATCATAGTATCAACATCCATCATTGATAAATAAACATCTTACCAACCTGTTATCACAAAGGAGATTGTCATCATCAGTATAAATAGAATGTAAATAATAAATTTAAACAGTTTTTGAAATGCAATCATAAAAGTCATAAAAGTGTTTTACAACTCAACAGATTTTATATAGGTTTAAAACATTCAACTGATCACCTGGTTTAGGAGCGATCACATACATGTTTTGTGACTATACAGATATTGCATAAGTTTTAAACATTGAACTGACTTATTGCTCTTGGTGCAATTATAATTATCAATCATTTGTGATCAATAGTCAACTCAAGTCTATTTAACTCCAATGATAAATTCAATGTGATGCACTCTGAAGTATTCAAACACATACAAACTATACTTTTGGGTATTTAAAACCATCAGTAATCCCTTTTAACAGGGACTATAACTTTGTATTACCTTTCTCATTCAACGTATTTCTATTAAATATATTTATCTGCAGTTCAACATTTTTCCCAATTAAATAAGATCAGGATTATTGTGAAAAAGTAAAAATCACATCTAATACATAATTATGGAATTCATATGCATATAAAATTAAAGTACCAAAAAAACAATGATTTTTAATAAAATTAAAATCTTTTAAATGTAACAACATCCTCTGACACCTGAAAAAGAAGTTCAATAACTTTCATTTCATTTTTAAAGAAAATAATTTTTATGAAATTAAATTATATGAAACAGATTATCAGCTGACCCAGACTTCATCTTCAGGGTGGAAATTCCCCCCCTCAATGACGGTCCTTGAAAGACACTGTGACTGGTTTATCTGGAACCATCAGCATCTGAAACTTCTGCTCCAGATCATCCCCTTGCCAGTCGACGGTGAACCTCTGTAGCAGTTTGGATAACAACACATACATCTCCTGCTCTGCAAATCGTCTCCCTGAAGGTTCAATGTTTAATAACAGATTTAATATGTTGATAGACAATTTAAAAGGGCTAATGCCATGTAACAGTTTTCTATACAGAAATGACAGTCATCCAATCAGATTTAGAATGGTTAGATAACATGCACCCTACTGGTCAAATACTTTTGTAATACATGAAGTAATCCATATCAACACTTTAGACTTACGTTACACATTTTATTTGTCGCAGGCAAGTGTTGAAGAACAACATTCTTTAAATATAAGCAATAAACTCATTCAACCCTGAAGACACATTTGAACTCTTCCAATTCAAAGGTTGGAATAGTTCATTGTGAAATTTCAGGGGCGAATGAGTTAAAGCCAAAGTACAAACACTAATTTTTAACCAAGAAACATGAGCAGCAAGCATTATATATACATATATATAAACTTTATTTTACAACAACTATGAAACAACCCTCCAATCATCAAACCACCCAGCAAACATTGAATAGACACTACAGGTAAATTGACCATTTGAAAGATAATCTTTATGTCCAAATGCATATATTTAAGAATAATTGTGTGTGCATCTTTATCGCTGTGGATTGTTCCAAACAGATTTTGGAGGGATTTAAACAAAGTAAAAATCAAATTTATGAGTTATATTAGACATAGTATATCTAGTGTCTTAAAATAATATTTCGTAAGAATTTTCTTTTTTAAATTACCACAAATCATTGATAAAACAAAACAGATTCAATAGTACCTGCACACATTCTTGGCCCATGACCGAACGGTGTCAGTAGATACGGGTGAATATTTAGGGCTGACCCATCCCTCAACCATCGCTCTGGTTTGAACTTTTCAGGGTCGGAGAAATGCTCTGCTGACTGGAACATCACATACGGGACAAGCTCCACGATTGTCTGCAGATCAAATTATAAATGATATCTGTTTAGTTTTATCGTATAAATCATAACTTTGTGTACTGAACTTGTCGTTAATAGTATCAAAAGGGTTTTGTTGTTTGAATTATGTTTTCATTTATTCCCAAGAGTTTAAATATCCCAAGCTGATTAAGATTTGTTTAATATAACAGGGATATCATATATATATCTTAAATTTCCTTTGATAGAATCATGCAAATATTTATTCACACAATTCAAGTAGTTTATAATGTCATAGAAGCAATGGATTGATTTGGTGATTTTTTACTTCATATTACAACTATATAATTTAAATTTTCAATCTTGACACTTTTACCTTAATTTGATCAATAAAACAAAAATCGCGAAAAAACCCTACACCAGGTTACCACAAGGAATTTTTTTTAATGGTTATGTGTGTTACTTTGGATGACAGATGACCACCAAAAATTCTAATAGGTTTTGTGACATATCTTGTACACAACCTTTTTACCCAAAAAGTGGTAAGATATTGTATAAATGTAACTATATCTGTTCTTGAGATATCTCATACAAAAGCTATTTACTACAGATAAACACACACAGACACTTGTATAAGGTTTTGTTATATAAACAGACACACCGACAAAGTTATTACTCTATACATGTACTTTCAGGCCCTTAAAGGAGTCTACACTTCTTAACTTATAAACCTGACATAAATCTTACCCCTGCAGGCACCTGGTAACCTCCAATAACCAAATTTTTCTGTGGAATTCTTTTGATATCCAGGCCAATTGGATAAAGTCTGTGAAATACAAATAGAAAAGTCTTAAAACCAAACAAATTAAATATTTATCAGTCTCAACAATATTTTATGATGGTGTCTGATGCAACAAGAACACAAACAGTTTGAGTTATCTCCCCCTAGTCTGGCTTCATGAGATTTCCCATTTTTTTTTTATAATACTCCTCTTTTCAAAAAATCAATTTAATGAATTTGGTATTTGATCAAGGACTTGAGTTGGTAGGGTAAAGCTGTACCTTGATGATTCCTTGACACATGCCTTTAAGTATGGTAAACGAGCTACCATGTCAGGTGTGATGGTCTCACCCTCGGGAATGACCCTACACACCTCTTCATAGGCCGATTGTTGTGCATTAGGGTTCTTTGCCAAACAATACAACGCAAATATTATTGCTGGCACCGTCTGCAAAATGAAAATTTTACATTGTGTTTTTATGGTTATTTTTTAAAGCTGAACAATAATAAACCTGCATCTTCAGTAACATGAAATCATGTCTATTAATTATTAAAGCTGAAATATTATTTTTTTATAATCTCTTAACATTGATTACCGGTAAATGGATAAGATTTTCTGACAGTGCTACTTTGAGCTGCCAGACACATTTGAAGGGTATGCACCAGCCTTAACATCAGCGTTGTTAGGCTTAGCCATCATTGATATTTGAGATCGAATATGGTCCTCAATAAAGAAAATGAATTGGTGGAAAAATGATTAATAATAAAACGATCCATCCCAAGGGAAATTCTCGCTGAAGAAAATCTTCAGATGAAGTCTGCAAGGTCAATAATATCTAACAGATAAGTTTTAGGTATATCTTCTTATGAAATACCAAACAGAATTTGTTTAGGAATATTTTTTTAATTTAAAACTTTACCTAAAACTTCTGTTGGTTATCATAAGCAACAGAAAAGCTTTTGGTATTGATTGAATTTCCAGGGGCAAATTTAAGGTACTATTGTATACGTTTTAAATAAATGCCGAACAGAAAGTTTTATGAGAATACAATAGTCACTCACAGTCCTTGAAGAAGGCTCGTGGCTGTAATATTGGGACTATGAATGACAATTTTATTCTCATCTCCCTCCCACCACCCCACCCCCTATAAAAAACATCCATTGTATATAATACAGAAAAGGTTTAGGTTCATCTTTCAGTTACATTTGCATTTTATCACTGTTCACATGACCTACACATAAAACATGAACCCTTTTAAAAAGTCTAAACTGATCTATTTTTGTTACAAACAATCCAATACCGTGTTTAGTCCATCTCCGAACAGTGACAATGTTATGATGCTGATATCCTTATAGCTGAGTTCCTTCCTGCTGAGGAGGTAGGCTAAGAAGTTATACTTGGTATCGTCCATCTGACCTTTAGCCACCAAATCATCAATCTTCTGTGCTGTCTCATCCACTAACTTCTGACCGTTCCTGTGAGAGTTTACATACACAATCAAACTGTTATAGGGGTATGGGGATACATCAAAACAGTGTATTAAGGAATGGTTAATGAATAAACATTAAGTGGGCTAACATCCACTAACTTCTGACCGTTCCTGTGAGAGTTTACATACACAATCAAACTGTTACATGGGGTATGGGGATACATCAAAACAGTGTATTAAGGAATGGTTAATGAATAAACATTAAGTGGGCTAACATCCACTAACTTCTGACCGTTCCTGTGAGAGATTACATACACAATCAAACTGTTAAAGGGGTATGGGGATACATCAAAACGGTGTATTAAGGAATGGTTAACGAATAAACATTAAGTGGGCTAACATCCACCAACTTCTGACCGTTCCTGTGAGAGATTACATACACAATCAAATGTTAAAGGGGTATGGGGATACATCAAAACAGTGTATTAAGGAATGGTTAACGAATAAACATTAAGTGGGCTAACATCCACCAACTTCTGACCGTTCCTGTGAGGGATTACATACACAATCAAATGTTAAAGGGGTATGGGGATACATCAAAACGGTGTATTAAGGAATGGTTAATGAATAAACATTAAGTGGGCTAACATCCACCAACTTCTGACCGCTCCTGTGAGAGTTTACATACACAATCAAACTGTTATATGGGTATGGGGATATATCAAAACAGTGTATTAAGGAATGGTTAATGAATAAACATTAAGTGGGATAAAATCAAAGTTTTATTTTATACACAAACAATGTACATATTAAACTTTGTCCAGGTGTTTTAAGACAGACTGGTTCCTTTGTCAAGCTTCAGTTACAATTTCGTCACATCATTGTTGAACAGGTAAAAATACAAACTGCTCACTCAATTATAGCTTGACAAAGGGGTCAGTCGGTCTTGAAATATTGCAAGATGTTTAATACCTACATTATTTGTGTATAAAGTTAAACTTTGATATTACCTCACATAGTATTACAGGTTTACAAACCGATGTACCTTATTTAAGATTTTAAGAGAGGTAGAAAATGAAATGAGGGGCATATCCAGGTTGTACGTCAGTTAAAATGGCAGGTCACTTGTAAAGAAAAGTTTTTACAAAACTACTTTAATTTTCAAGAAACGTTTCATCCAAGAATGCCTTTTCATTAATTCAAACTAAACTGATCATTAAAACAATTTCACAACAAAAGATGGATATTTACAGGAAAAAGAAATCTTCTGCAGCAACAAGTTTCTTCCATATTGGTGTGGTGAACAGTGTGTGAAAAGGTACAGAAAATGTTATCTTTGTCGAGAGAGCGAATATGTCATTGTTGGCCGTTATCATCTTCTCCGTCCACGATCCAGTGCCCGATTCTAGACAGCCTAGCCTCGTCTCAAAACTGGTGCTGCCAGAGGCTGAAACCATAAATAAAAGTTTGTCTCAAAACTGGTGCTGCCAGAGGCTGAAACCATAAATAAAAACAAACATTTCCTGACTTCAGGAATAATACTAAAACATCACTTTATTAGAGAAAAATACATATCGGTATACAGATCAATGTAATATCAATAACACTAGCTTAATGCTTTCTGTGTTTTCTTCGATCAAGTAGATGCTACATAAGTTTTACAAATTAGAAAGTGTTTGAAAAAGATGACTTCCTACTAATTTTTTTCCATAAATACATGTACTTCACTGAATGGATGAGGCATTACATGTTTTAACTTTTCTGTCTGTCTGTCAGTATGACATCTTTGTTAGACTTTGCATTTATCTCCATTTCTTCGATATTTTCTAGTCCCAAAGGCGTCAAATAACATTTACAGATCAGGAGCACTATTATATGACATAGGTCAAAGTGACCTATTTATTTATTATATTTTCTGCTTCACTAACATCGATTACACTTCATTATCCTCTATTTCTATGATACAATAAGTCCTAAAATTGTCAAACTTCATATGCAGACACATCTTTAAGAGTAAAAACAAGCACTTAATTTTAAATCCTGTAATGTGGCTGGGGCATAAACAAATGATTTATTTTGAAGATTAATATTGTTGTCCAAGCCAAAGTGGTTTTATGTGATCACAACCTTGAAAGGTCCAATTATGAATGATTTTCTGATTTCCATTATTTTACTCACATTCTAGATTCCACTTTGCAAGCTCCTTCCTGAAGTTATGTACTTGTCCATCCTTGGCTCGGAGAGAGTTGCTTATATTGTTGACGAATTCCTCTGCAACCTGTTGAACATTAGGGAGGTAGACAGTGACCTCCTTCGGGCGCATCATCATCTGTTGTACAGCACTCCTCAGTCTGTACCACTCGTCGCCATTCCTGGGTGCAAAAGTAATTCTTGTCACTTTGATTCAATTCAATGTACTGGATATATTCAGTTTATATGAAATTAACTAATATTGCATACACTGCATTTGAACTATTAAGTAACCCTATTACTTTCATAGTAATTGTGATACTGACCTACTTGAAAACACAATTCAATGGTGGCTCATTTGCTTGTAAGAATTTGCAAGATTCTGATATCATTTGAATTTTCTCATTATGATAAAACCGCTTTTAACAAAAAGAATGTGAAATTTTCAGGCCTTAAATGTATATGACAGGTAATAGTTAATAACAAATATTTTCATGAAAATTAAGTTATGCATGGATTATGAGAAGTTCTTTTTACACATCAAATAACATTTTCTATGTGACGTTTCGACGACTAGTACAATATGTACACTGTCACCTTCATCAGGCAAATGCACAATGAAGCGTATGCACACAGAGGTGTAAACTGTGTACGAGTTGTCCATAAAATTGATGTCAATTTCGGCTACGCTGGAAACGTATGTACAATAGTTGTTATATATGTACAAAATGACTCAATTCAGCTATGTTTAGAAATAAGTTATGCGTGACAAAAACTAGAGAATGCAATGCATCAAAGGCCCAATGAAACTGTAAATTTTCTTCCTCTTAAGCTCCAGCTTGGTACAAAGTACAAATGATCTTTTGATCGGTCTTGGCCAAATGTTGATATTTATTGGGTAACACAAGATGGCCACCCTGGTATCTGGTTGGCTAGTTTAAACCAAAGTCTGATTTTATGCAATGCCAAAGTAGCACAAATATCATAATAAGGTTGATCTCTCACTGTCCTGACATTTACTTTGAATATTTAATGAATGCTGTCTTCGATTTTGAATCAGCCTGAAAATGACACGTAATCAGTACCATGAAAGGATTGTTTGTTTCCAATTGGCATTCTTTTGCAATAGGAGCGAAAAAAAAGCACGGCCAGACTGGGGTTCTAACCCGGGACCCTCCAAACTCTAGACGGACACTCTACCAATTGAGCTACATGGTCGCCCACAATCGACCCAGTCCAGTTCCTCTACACTTTTTTTTTTTTTAGAAGATTTTGATGGGCGATTGATAAGACTTGTCAATATTCCAAAATCTTATTTGACCTTTATCAATTTAGGGTCAGGTGAGATAAAGGAGAGAGGACCATTTTTTTTTCTCTATTTATAAGTACATTGAATACTTTGAGTTATGCATCAAGTGACTCTGTGAAGTATACATTACAAAATAGAACTTTGATTTGTTAATGTAGTATTAAAGGGGCATCACGGTGAAGTAACTTTATTTTTTGTCTTTTTTTCAAATACTACATAAACAGATCAAGTGAGACTCCTTATGGAAAATAACGATCGGATTTGGCTGAAATAGATTCAGAAAAATGATTAAATCTACGAAAATCATCGGTATTTCTACCTGTCTGACCAACGTTTTGTTCAGGGATTTCCCTCTACTAGCGCATGCGCAAAGCACATAATTTCTTTGTAAACAAAATGGCTGGCCGTGTGAAGTAAGCGAAAGAAAAGTGTTGTACCGTGTCAGTTACGAAACGAAAAGTTGACAAATGGTCAAAAGATAGCAAAAGGAGTACGTTACGGAATCATTTTTGCAGGTGGGCAGTATTCAAGGGAGAAAATAACTGCCATAGCAGTTAGTACGGTGCATGTATTCTTCCGGATAGCCGGTTAAGCTGAAATGGAATCGACAGAAATGCTAGCGCTGTTTATGTTATGAATAAATATCTAAAACTATTAAGCTCGCTAGTATCTTTGTCTGAGTTTGAACACAGATGAACTTAGTTTAATATGTTAATGGGCATGTATTGGAGAGAGTTTACTTTGTGTTTCTATAACTATACAGTGGTTTATGCGAAAGGAAGGGATAAGTGACTGGTTAGTTTGATTTTTCCATGAGGCCCTCCAAGGGATAACTGTTGTGATGGCCCACGGCGTATTTTCTGGGTCACCGAGATACGTGTTATCGAAGTCCGTGGATTTACATAATTGATATAAATAAAATGGTATGATTTAATTACATTGCTGAATAAAACGATTATTTTGGTTTTTACATGCAAGATTTATATTAGTACTAGTATGAATACCCGGCCTCCTCTGCCCCGGAAACATATAAAAAAAATCAGAAAGGTTTGTCCCTTGGTGTAGGGAAGGTGTTTATCCTGCACCATCTGTACCGGCCACATTCCGGTACTAAATTCAATATATGTTTAAATATATCTACTTTATGTTTATGCCTATTATCATTGTTGACATTTAACTGTAAATGTATGACGGGAGAAGGCTGTGATAAATTGTAAAAACTTGTGCCCCATCCCTTGTTTAATTTTATTGGCAACATATTTATGTTAAAGCTAAATAAATTTAAATTCTGAATATTTGTAAGTGTGCAATTAACTTCTAATGATGAATAATCACTGTTCAATAAGTTTGAATACGGACTTAGAAATCATATAACTTGGTGTCATAGTGCGGTAAGAAGTTGCAGTTGCCTAACGGCCCCTCTCTGGGGGCCTCTTTGGAAACCGTTTCATCTCGCTCGCACAACTTGTGTTTACTGCCTAGTCAGGTGACGTTATCGGCTCTATTTTTAGCAGGGCTTTCCCGAACAATTCAAGTGGTCAAACTGGACATTTGGAACGGACTATGAATATGGGGATAGCGTGGTAACATAAGTGGAAGTGCATACAATACATACATTCATTAAAAAAAAATCGCCTTTTCACGTGATGTCCCTTTAAAGGGATTGGATAAGTTATATCATCTCTTAAACTGGTTATCTATCAATTTCAAACACCGCCAAATGGTTTATTGTATTCACAACCGTGTCAACACTGATCATGATATGACTGACTTACGTATTACCAAGGCCAGGAGACATATTTTTCTGACTCCTATACAGCCGTGTTGTATCCAGAAGAGGGGCCACATGAGGTACCTTCCCCTCATTCTGATACACAATTTTAACGTAGTCTGGATCGAACAAACGGACTGCAGTCACTCCAGCTATCGTTTCTTTCATGATAGGGCCATATTTCTGGTAGCGGTCTTGTAAGGAGGCTTGGAACCGGTCTATGTTAAACTTTTGAAATGGTCCTGAAAATTTAAAGGAACACATGAAAAATAGCAGATGTAGAAATGTTGCTTCAACGTGAAATGAAAAATAAACACAAAGTATTTTCGATGTATCAGTTGCGGCTAGTAGCATATCTTAGGGGACATCCGGGTAAATACAGACACTTTTCACATGATGACTGCTAAATGAATACAAGCTCCTTGGTACAGTTAATCAACATGATGTGTGCGAAATATCATAGATATCATCTACGAACATATTTGTCAGAATGAAGGTCCCTACCAGATTCTATTTTGCGTTATGCTTTTGATTAGTCGGTAAAATGAACACTAAAATATAAACCAAAACACAGAATTTATAGAAATCGGTTGTGATACGGACAAGTGCAGGGTAATTACGGACATGCTACTCTGATCATGCACTTGCCCAATAAAACCATAAAAACTGGTCACAATTGTTTCACCAGGGATTGCTACATGTTCTGCTCCATTAGATCATGCTCTTATCCTGTCGGCATACAACATACCGGGCAGTTTTAAATTATAACTTAACCCATCCCGTCAAAGACCTTTTCGCAATGACATTCCACTTTGACAGTCTATTAAGGTGTATAATTGTGTTAATTCTAATATCAGATGTTTGCTTGTAAAAAGAAATCAACGTAAAATCCTCATTTTGATAATAGGAGTCAAAACAATCTCAGTAAGTTAATTGATCAATTAAGACCCGCCTAATAAAAAGCTTGGGGAAATAACGGACGCCTCAGACACAACAGTTCTTCCTTAAATTTTCATATTGATAAACTACTGCAATCTAAAACATTAAGAGTACAATATAAAGGATATATATTTGGTTATTGTGAAGATGATTGTAACATAACTGTTGTCTCAAATTGTGGCTTATCATTCGGACATCGTTTCCGAAAATCAAGTTTCCGGCCGCGTCGCAAGATACTCTCGCATGACAACGAATATTATTAGACAAGCCATTACTATTTTAGGCCAATAGGATATTCCTATCACTGTCCGCCAACGAAGACATGCATCCATGATCTACGTCTAGCATGAACGGAGTTTGATTTAATCACATGTAATGGTTTATGTACGATTCATACAAGAACTGTCCATATTTGCCCGCCTATCTGTATCTGTATATTACTGAAAGACCTCAAATTTGAGTATAAATTCCAGGGTTGGAATACGCCTGTCCATATATATTTACCCGGATGTCCCCTATATCAGAATTAAGATTTTTTTATGCATAGGAAATAAATAATAATAGTAATAATGGAGCCAGAACTCCATTTTATGTAATGTATTATCAATAATCTAGTAACCTCTGTATTGATGCAGTGTTCCTAAGAAAGGCAAACCTCTCGGTCCTGGGATCTCATCAAATGGTTTGGCATTATCGTAAACGCTATTAGGAACTGGATTTTCGATCTCATTGTAGCTAACGCTCATTGTTGACAAACTCCGGAATACAGTGTAGCGATTCCATGCCCGACATTGCTTGAATGGGAGAGCGTTATTCCGTAAGCAATGTAAACGGGGACCACATGAGGTGACCACCAATGATGCCATGACAAAATATTGTTGTTTCTACTTTTGCTACCAGATGGACATATTGGTATGTATTAAGACATCTCTTGTTGCTATTAGCATTCTAATGAAAATGTTTAACAGAAACCATCCTCCTCATCAACAGGAAAACTCGTAAACAACAACTTCCGAACGCAAAGTGGTGACACTTGAGATACAGAGCTACTATTTTACCGGCTCTTAGTTTCGTATGGTTATACACAAAATACTCCGTTATGTCCTAATGATTTTACTTCACTTTCATTCTTTTGGAAACAATCATTTTGTGAATTTGGTATCCAGTCCTTAAATAAAGGGTTGAACAAAACGCATTCATTTTTACCCTAGATAAAATACGAAACTTCCTGCAAGCACTTGTATTTTGACGTCACGTGATCATGATTAGGATTAGATTTCCCGGACAATGCGATAAACCGTCTTGTTGATGAGGTTTGGTCCATCATTTTAGATGTGTATATTTCTGGGGTGTGACATTTATTATTCTCAAATGCATTTCCGAAAATGACGGTCTGATTCGTAAAACGAGAGGAAAGTCTTGAGAGAATTGTGAAAATTGCCACTTTTACCCGTCAAACATGGCGGCGAGAAATGTCAAACAGGCCGCGGGGTTATACGACCCCGCGGAGAAACTGCAATCAAACACATTGAAGGTAAGCATATATATTAAGAAAAGGAATACAAAATATGACACCTGTTAATCTTGTATTTAATTAAGTTTTTAATCGATTATTGTAAACAAGCTACACGTTGGAATGCTTGTGTATTGTGGCTTCGAATCCAATACACAACTGCATCATTTTTGACATCCAACAAAACGATGATTGTTGGTATATTTCCGCTGTTCTCATAAATGTTTGGCATGTATATAATATGACAACAAAATATATATACATGATAAGTGCCATTAACATGTTATTTGCATCACATTAAAACGAGCCTTTATACAACATCGGTTGAAAAGAATAATATGTAACCAAATTACTGCAGCTGAAAGTTTGGCGAGTGCAAACTTGGATCTAGTAAGATTGGGTCACCCTAATGAGTGTCCTCCGGGTAATGAGTGTCCTCCGNAGATTGAATATGTTTTTATCCAGGTAGTGAAATTACATTTTTATTTGGCGACTACCTGTGTACAGTCATCAACCAACTTTTGAAACTGTAAAGTATGTGGCAATCTTTGGATTGTTAAAATCTTGTACCGTAATTGACAAAGTAAGGGCGCCAGGTGCAGTTAATTGTTGTGACAACATACCACGTATTTTGACTATTTCAACAACGGCAGAAACATCAAGTTTGAAACTCCCTTGATTTTTCCATATTTGCATGTCCCAGACCCTCTGTATGTTGAGGTTGAATGCACTTCACCTGTACAGTTACAGTTTTTATGTAAAAATTGAAAGTTTGAATTTTATTTATATAATAGAATACTCGTATATATCTCCTGTTTAGCACAAACAAGTTTTTCTTGTGTTAACATTTTAGCAAAGCTTCTGACACAATTAAATTTTGATCAATCGTGCAGGAATTGTTCTCCCATTTCCTTTTCAGTGTGTAATAGATTTTTTTTCATTCTTTTTTCATCATTGAGTGTTGTGTTGTGTTTCAAAATATCAATATCAGTAATAACAAAAAGAACAGACACAGAAGCATACTTTCTGTACCAGTTCTTAGATATATCACAAAACAGATCTATCTGCACTTGCTATTCAAGAATTAACTCGCCTCTAATGATGATAAATCAGTGTGGTAATCAAATGACATTTATTAACTGTAAGAGATTTTTTAAGGTCAATAAGAGTCTTTTGATCTTTCCCCAAAATCAAAGCAAAAATCATTTTATTTTTCCAAAATCTTGTTTTTGGGCATACATGTATATGTGGGTGATATTTTTCCAAATCAACAGGCACAGGGCCCTGTGGAAAATAAGTAGAAAAATCACTGAATTTTAGGGGTGTCACCAACCATCAATTACAAAATTTTAACTATTAAAAGCCTGCTTTATGCTTATTGGCATATCTGTTAGAATTTGTAGTAATTTGTTTGCATTTAGTTAAAACACCCAGCAGATACATTAAAATATGCTTTTGAAAAATATTGTGATATAGCAATATTTCTTCTCTGTATTGTAGTACGATTTGATATGCCTGTGTATTGCGATATACCTGTTTTCGGATATATTGTGACAGCCCTACTGAATGTCATCAAAAAAAGGTTTCCTACATATACTCTAATGACTTAGGATTAGTTTGTTACTTATGCGTTAGGATTAGTTTGTTACGTCTTAGGATTAGTTTGTTACTTATGTCTTAGGATTAGTTTGTTACTTATGTCTTAGGATTAGTTTGTTACTTATGCTTTAGGATTAGTTTGTTACTTATGCCTAAGGATTAATTTGTTACTTATGTCTTAGGATTAGTTTGTTACTTATATCTTAGGATTAGTTTGTTACTTATGTCTTAGGATTTGTTTGTTACTTATGCCTTAGGATTAGTTTGTTACTTATGCCTTAGGATTAGTTTGTTACTTATGTCTTAGGATTAGTTTGTTACTTATGCGTTAGGATTAGTTTGTTACTTATGCCTAAGGATTAGTTTGTTACTTATGCGTTAGGATTAGTTTGTTACTTATGCTTTAGGATTAGTTTGTTACTTATGCCTAAGGATTAGTTTGTTACTTATGCCTTAGGATTAGTTTGTTACTTATGCTTTAGGATTAGTTTGTTACTTATGCCTAAGGATTAGTTTGTTACTTATGCCTTAGGATTAGTTTGTTACTTATGTCTTAGGATTAGTTTGTTACTTATGCTTTGGAATAAGTTTGTTACTTATGCCTAAGGATTAGTTTGTTACTTATGCGTTAGGATTAGTTTGTTACTTATGCCTTAGGATTAGTTTGTTACTTATGTCTTAGGATTAGTTTGTTACTTATGTCTTAGGATTAGTTTGTTTCTTATGCTTTACGATTAGTTTGTTACTTATGTCTTAGGATTAGTTTGTTACTTATGTCTTAGGATTTGTTTGTTACTTATGTCTTAGGATTAGTTTGTTACTTATGCGTTAGGATTAGTTTGTTACTTATGCCTTTGGATTAGTTTGTTACTTATGTCTTAGGAATAGTTTGTTACTTATGTCTTAGGATTAGTTTGTTACTTATGCCTAAGGATTAGTTTGTTACCTATGCGTTAGGATTAGTTTGTTACTAATGCGTTAGGATTAGTTTGTTACTTATGTCTTAGGATTAGTTTGTTACTTATGCGTTAGGATTAGTTTGTTACTTATGCTTTAGGATTAGTTTGTTACTTATGCTTTAGGATTAGTTTGTTACTTATGTGTTAGGATTAGTTTGTTACTTATGCCTTAGGATTAGTTTGTTACTTATGTGTTAGGATTAGTTTGTTACTTACGCATTAGGATTAGTTTGTTACTTATGCGTTAGGATTAGTTTGTTTCTTATGCTTTACGATTAGTTTGTTACTTATGTCTTAGGATTAGTTTGTTACTTATGCCTTAGGATTAGTTTGTTACTTATGCCTTGATACCTTTTCTTTTATCAATCTGCAATATATATGTATCAAGTAGTGATATATTGTGCATTGAAACTTACAGAAAAAAATGTTAATGTGTACATGATTTCAAATGAAGGTACAATGGTGCATAATGTTTTTGCTTCTAAAGATTAACAAATGGACGAGAGAATGGGTAAGTTTGAGTTTCGATATCAACTTCACCCTGTAGACCTCCAACGTTAACCATTTCCTTGGCAATGGATGTTTCTTGAGGAAAGATTAACAAAGTTTGAAGGGAATCTTATAACCGGGAGCTCGAGGTGGAGAATATCACTAATTATACATGTGTATATGTGAAAAGATATCGAAAATAACAAATGTAAACTTGTTTTTACCTGTTGCTTAGCACAACTCTGACTGCCTTTAGTATTATAAAATTATACTGTGTTAGGATCCCGGACCATTACACATATTTAAAGGTGAAAAAGTTATTAGACCGAAAAAAAATATTGCTTGTTTCCTGTTACCCCACCTACCAAAACTTGTTGTGCCTTTTAACAATTTTCAACAAAGCACTTTTAAATCACTCTCCTATATAAACATAATAAAAAAAAAATGAAAAAAAAAATTAACCTAACTACCCTAACTTTTTCAGACATGTAACAAAAAACAAACATACTTTTGTTTGGCCTGATCAAGACACCCCACTCTTTTTTTCAGTCTAACATATATAACTAAACAAGAAACAATGATGCTTAGATTATTAGAAATACCCTTTATGATGTTAACTTATGTACGTGTGTTCAAAAAGTAAAGAAATATCGTCAGATAGAAAATCTAGCATTTTACTTTCCTATTGATAATAATTAGAGGTTATTATAATAAACTTTTTATCATATGTTCAAGTAACAAAAAATCAAGTCAACAGGAAAAACAATTAGATAATTTAATCAACAATGTCAACTGAAACAGATTATTACAAGATGATATTCAGTGCATTTTCCTTATCAATGAGGTCATCCAATTCAAGTATTCTAGACGCTAGAGAATTTTTCTCACCCTGGTTTGTTGACATTTTGTTTGTTGACGTCTGCTCAACACACTGTCTAAGCAAAAAAACAACTGACAGCGCAAATCCGGATTTTACTCGGAACGCTTCGGGCGCTTCCCATATACAATACAGAAGTAGAGGTGTTCCGAACAAGGGGTGCATTACGAGAATTGTTATCGCATGGGGGGTGCATTACGAGAAACTTATCACACGGGTGACCGGAAGTGGTATCAGGAGTGGTCAGAAGTTATCAAATATGCAAAAAACACTCATATTCTGACTAAACATATGATAATATATATAATTAAACCAATGTGAAGAAATATCTTGAGTCATGCTGACCATAAATCCATGCATTTATGCCATGCACCACGAACGAACCAATATTTTTTAACTCTGCATGGTCATTGAAAAGTTAAATAATTATATGTACAAAGAAAATGTTATAATTTTCAATTAATTCTAAGGTATCTTTGAATGGAAAATAAAACACAACATTGTGGCTTAAATATTTCTTAAATTCCTTGCAGATGAAGTCTCTTTTATTTATATTTGTCTAGAAATTATGTTTGTGGAGTTAAATTACACCTGGCCATGGCATGGGCCCGTATATATAAATATTCATGAAACCATTCTCATGCTCAAATTCAGATACTGTGCTGGAACCCATTTTCTTGATAAGTTACTATGAATTCACATTTTGTTTATAATTTGAAGGGAAAATGAAAATATTTTAAACATAAAACTATTTTCAGTGTTTAAATTCTAAATTTGACTATTAAATTAAACCATGTTACTTGGTTTAGAAAGTTGGTTTGAGCACAAAGTCTCAGTTTAAGCATGAGAACAGTTTCAAGAAAATGGGCCCTGAAGTGATAAATGGGTATGGTACTACTTTTGTTTTATCAAACATCTAGTCTTGATGACATGTTATACCCTTTCACCACTAGTACTGTAGACCATAATGGACTAGATGAATGTATGGTAGAGTTACCTAGGGGTGAAAGATCTAGAGTTAATATAAATTTAATTGCTGACTAAAACACATTACTCACATCATCTATAAACAGTTGGAATACATTATTGATCCCAGAATCCTTCAACAGAGGTGCACGTGTCTGCCAGTCCAGCTCCAGATCTGACGATTCTGACCAGACACATATACCTCTTTGTTTTACTGCTGTTTTATTCACTACTACTATCCTCAGTAATATTACAGTATTTACTGATTCAATGGCCAATTGGCCATTGTTTTTACCAATGGGTCGAAGTTGTTTATTATAGCTTCCCTGCTTATTATATGTATAGACGTACTCTACATGTCATAAACAAATTTAAACTTACCTTTTCTGTTTGTTTGTTCACCTTTGCTAATTGATATTAAACTTTTTTTTTTCATCCTTGTAGCTTGTTTTCAGTAGAAATGAGTTGGTTAGCATCATTTATTTAATAAATAGCCAGATGTCCAGAATGATATAGTTGAAGTGATGTAGAGAAAAATATTCTAGGACTTTATGCTTGATTCAAAAGAATTTCTCTACTTGATTGAAACTCATGTAAAACATTGACACAAATATCTAAACCTAAAGTGTTAGTATGGTGTTTGTTAAGTGAATAATACTCTGATATGATAATGTGGCTAATGTCAAATGTATTGGTTATATAAACATCTGTCCATTGTCAATATATAAGGTACCTATATATATATATATATATATATACAATATACAATGCAAGTATGTTGCACAACTGATTTGGTGAATAAGAAATTCAATGTGTTTCCTAAGTGAATCACAAAGCAGATGTCTTGTTCGAGGTATTATATAATTACCACACTTGATCAATTTACAAAGCTTGATAAAAAATATGTTAATAATTTAAAAATTGCTAAAGTGATCACAAAGATTCTATATTGGTCAGTGACCTTGATGCTCTAAAATGCAAAATTGATCGAGGTATTCCCATTTTTGACCAATATTATTAAAGGAAGTTTCTAGAGCAATGTCAAAAGGTGAAAATACATTGTTCTGTATAACAAACAGAACACAATCACCTACACGACCCTGTCACGAGTGGATAATGAACAGGACAGTAACAATTCCAAGTATATATACCAGGTATATAGATTGGAAGATACACCGTATACGTATTATACATGTTAAAACCTTTCATTTTCAATCTCGATCTCGCTTGCTGCCAACATTTTTCAACATCAACTTTTTCGTTTTTCTTTACGATTCCTTGATACTTGTTTCTTGATTAATAATACCATAAAATCCCCCCTTGGCAAATGGTGGATACAATTGTTATATAAAAAAATGGTATATAAATGTAACAGTAATCATACATGTGTCATGTGAACAATTCACAAATTGTAAGTGTATGTACATATGTATGTTGTGTTCATATGAGTTGAGACTTCCGTTATACTTGACAACCTTCATTGCTTGTAATAGCTGAATGAACAGTAATAGGTATATATACAGTAGTTTATTATTCAAATGTTTGTGTACGACTTTGTCAACATTATTATCCAATTTAATCACAATAAGCTACTGATAGCTGCCTATGTAAGTCAAATTTTTTCAGGGAAATTATCAGTTGATGATTTGGCATATGCAACAAAAAACAATACACTTCAGACTATAAATTGGGTTGTTGTAACGCTGCAAGTCCAATCCGTTCCTATATTCATCAGAGGGCAGTCACCTGCACACTGTCATGAGACATGATTTCAACCAGGGCTGATTTAAAAAAGAAGTGGTGATGTTATTTATGTGAATAAATATGTAACGTAGACAACAACATGATTTGTAATCGAGTAATGATTGACCTTTGACCTTGTAAGTTTGTATATTGTTATAAATTTAATGTGCATGTATTATGTCATGTACACAAATGTAACAGGTTATTTGAAAGGATTCTTGATGCATGGGCTTTAACTGGAAAAAAAAGTATAATTGTTTGGGCTGGTCTGATAAATAAGACTGCATAGTGTTTCTAAACGTGAAAATGTAACATGGGAAAAGGAAAACTGATATAGCTTGTGTAAGTTCGTACATCAAAGTAACACCTTTGTTGATTTATGTTGTAGCGTCACCCTAAGATGGACCTGAACAAAGCCGACCTGTTACGGTTGCTAAGTTACCTGGAAGGAGAGCTCCAAGCTAGGGATGTTGTCATAGCAACCTTGAAGGTTAGTCTTCACTGCCTGTCAACTATTGCATTGTGACCGAGAGCTTTGAAATTTAATCAGATTGACTCTCTGTGGACAAAATCTCTCATGTGGACTGCACATTTTTTGTCATGATTTGTATGGTGCACAGTATACTATATAGCTACCAGCTAGTGTTAAATGTATATTTATTTTATAAATTCAGCTACATTGATCATGAGATTCAATTCATAAGAAAGACTAGGCCCATTAATATTCTGAAGGATTGTAAATGTCCTCATGAAATTGGTTCAGCTTTTATGAAACCGAAAACCATGATGTGTTATTTTGGGATGGGGGCTAAAGATTTGGTACTTGTCAGTCTGTCCCGTTTTCTTTTCTTGGCCATAAGTTATATGAAATTTCGTACTTATGATATCCTTTAGATGAATGTATCTGGAGTGAGCAATGTGTAACATCAAATTCGCAAGTCTTTACTCCAATAGTTGAGGTCACAACAAGGGGAAAATGTTGAACCATTAATGCTTATCCCAGAGGTACAATTTGTGAACAGCATATATATTATAATTTGAAAAATATAATTTAATAGATGGATGTATCATGACTAAATGATATGTCATGCACACTTTATTGGTCTCTGCCTCAAGGTCAAGGTCAAAGCAAGGGGTATCAAATACCAGTCATTGCATTGTATGTCCAAGTAATATAATTACAAAATTGTCATTTTATTGATATTCAAGCTTGTATTTGACATAAATAATGTGTTTGATATACCCGGTACTCGTGAATTACACTTACAGGCGGAGAAGGCTAAACAGTTACTGTACCAAGCCAAATATGGACGTTTTGGATTAGGCGACCCCTTCCAGGCTTTACAGAGGGATTCTGACAATATGAAAGACAACACCTTTGATGAGTCGGCCATCAAGTCTATGTACGACAACCAGTTGGCACAACTGGAGAATCTCATTGCCACACAGCGCAAGGCTCAGATAAAGATGAGGGAGCAATTGGCCACTGCTGAGAAACGTTACCACAAGGTATGCACAGGATTGTTCTGTATCTAGTGGTTTGATTGAGGATTTCATTTAGGTCTTGGAATCCTACAGGATCTTTCTAGATATCAGGGGTCAAATGTGTAAAAACCTTCAAAAACTTAATTATTTTTAAACAAGGGTCTTTAAGGCCATGCATAGGGATGTTTTTCATGTTGCTTGCTGAAATAAAAGATTATTAAATTAATTAAATTAAATGACATTGACCAATAAGGTCATGTGAATTAAGTTAAAATCTAATTACAAATATGGGGACGCAGTGGCCAAGTGGTTAAGGTGCCTGACAATCTGCTACCACTAGCTATATAGCCATCCACCACTGGGTCGCAGGTTCGAGGCCTATGTGGGCCAGTCACCAGGTATTGGCCGTAGGTCAGTGGTTTTTCTCAAGGAACTTCGGCTTTCCTCCACCTCCAAAACCTGGCACGTCCTTAGATAACTGTAGCTATTAATAGGACGTAAAACACAAGTAAACAAATCTTACAATTATCCATAAAATGTGGAGTAACGATATTGAAGGCTTGCTTGCTATGAAGCTTGTTTCAATAAATTTGACCTTAAACGACTTTGAAGGTCACAGAGGTTAAATTTGTTTGCAAAGTTCATTTAATAACAAGTGAGTGATTCAAATGTTCACTCACAATAGATAAAATAATAACATGAATAATTCTGTTTAAATAGATACATTTTTAGCATTCATAACTCTTCTCTAATTTTCTGGAAATAAAGAGGGAAATTTGGAGAGCAGTATAATTTTTGAAAAATCCAGCTTAAATTACCCAGAGAAAAAGGAAATTTGGCAACAAATACAAACATTCCCCTTAAAGGAATCAATGAAAGATCTTTATTAACTTTGAGGAAGAGAATTCACTTTTCAACAAGTTAGTTATAATGTATGATACACCAAACGGCTTTATCTGTTGTAGGTATGCAGTGAATTGGAAGATGAGAAAAGGAAGCATGCTCAGGACACGGCCCAGGGCGATGATGTGACGTACATGCTGGAGAAGGAGAGAGAGCGCCTTCGCCAGGAGGTATGGACTATAAGTCGACATAATATGAAATCAGCTGTATTTTACTTCAGATGAGTCTAAGGCTGTGGTCCTAAAGATATCATACAAATGTTCATATGATCCAAAGTTGAGCATTGTTAGTCATTATATAACCGTCCCATGTCGGTTGTCCATTCAGGTGCAATCAAATTTGTCCCTGTAGAACACACAAAAATCTTGGAGTAAAGTTATCTAGACAGCAGACACTTGCTTCAATCTTGTATTTAATCAGAAGGGAACAAATGAAGACTTCATTTGCACATGCCGCCCTCATCTGTAAAATGTGGGATGGTTTTCGTATCAAAGTTTTCATATTCTACAACTTTTAACATGGAAATATTTTGATTACACAAGTTTCTTTTCTCTTACAGATTGATTATGAGAAAGGTCAAAATAAAAAGCTGGAGAAGGATCTAAAAAAGACTCTGGCGAGTTTAGAGGAAGAACGTGCTAACTCTGTGAAACATAAACAGGTGGCGGTAATGTTAATTAAAGAACAAAAGAAATTAATCGAAAGACTTGTCATCGACAGACAGAAGTGTAATCAGTATGACCAGTTGTTGAAAGATGAAAAAAATAAAACTATAACAATGGCCGAGGGCCTTGTGCAAGAAAGTAAGAAATCACTAAAGATGGAGGCTTCGATGGAGAAGCAATTGAGTGACTTCGATCTAGAACGAGAACAATTGAAAAATCGTCTCGGTAAAAGTGATATCAAAAACAAAGAACTTCAATCCCAAGTGGATATACTACAAATGCAGGTGGACGCGCTTCAGAAACAGTTGATGTCGGCAGCCACTGCTGCCAAAGATTCTCTACAAAATATAGAGGTAAAGGCCATGCCTTCTCCCGCTCGAGCTGGCACGGAGAGGCTAGCAGGAGCCACGGTTACCGTAGTTAGTCCCATGTTAGGTAAACCTGTGCCAAAATCTTCAAAACCACTTGTTGTGGATGGAGGAGTTCGAATCTCAGAAGATAGACCATATTCTCCAGCAGGAATTGGAGAAAATGCTGTTCTAAAGACTGTGCGTTATGGAGTTAACTCTCCTGCCCGGTCCCCAGAAAGGGGTTCTTTAGGTGGAGGAGAATCATCCGAAATGAGAGTAGGCCCTGTCGGGGCTGTATCGATTGACAAGTCGGAGAACTATCGAGGTGTAGGTACGAGAATCGGTATCGCCCCAGGGACCTCTGCTGTAATATCATCTGGAGGCAAAATGTTGACTGTAAATGTAGCCTCCCAAAATGCTAATTATCCAAATATCGGTGCTGCCAACACCTCTCCACGTAAAATGGTCCCACTGGGCAGGGGTACACCGCCCCCTCTGCCCCCTAACAAGCCTGTGTTGAACTCCCCAGTACCGGGGAAGCCGGCCCCTCCCCCAAAAGTCGGGGTCTCTGTGTGCAAAGACACTCCCATTGACTCGAGTAATCGTACAACCCCTAAGGCTGTGCACATACCTGTGAGTGTGGTACACGGTAGTGGAGGGGCAGGGCGGCAGTCTGCTGGTACAGATTCCTCCTCCCCGATGAGGAAGCCCGCGCAGGTTTGTGTAAATGCAAAATGAAGGGAGGGACTGTGTTTGACATGCAAACTGTTTTAAACTCATAGCTTTTTATCCATATAATTATTACCCTATTATTTATTTTATTTTCCCTTAGAGGACATAGCTGCCTTTTTGGATAGCTGCAATATATTGCTCCTTTTTGATAAAATTCACAATTTGACACTATGTGCAATAAAGTATGTTTTATGTTGTGAGAGGAATTCCTATTGTCATTGATCATTGAAAAAAAAAAAACCTCGTAATATCAGGCTTAAGATAATATGTATAATAGCTCCATGACAGAATTGACAGTTGACATTAAATATCGACAGTTATGACAGCGTTCTCCCTTCATTCTGTTTTAGAGTTTAGTTTTCAATTTGTTTGTTTTTGTTTCCATCCCAATTTTTTTTTATATGTGATGTTTTTATTTTTGTTTCTTTTTTATATGATTTATTTATTTTCTCTTTTAAAATGATTTGTTTTGTCTTTTCTTCCTCTTCAACCTGCTTTGTTTTCTGTCATGATTTACTTTCGACCTCCTTTTCCTGTTGACTGACTGCCGTAGCCTGTATACTTACTGTACCTATGCTGTTGCTGCTGCTGGGTCTAAGTTCCATGCAGCAGTTGCCTGTCTCCGCAGATTCATTAGCTGTTCTATACATCATCACGACCTAGCTCAACGTCATAGAAATATCCCAACCCTTGATCGAAGTAAGAAACATTATAGGCAGAATGTAACAGTCAAAAAATGATAAATTTTTAATTATAATCTAAAGTTGAAGCTTAAGCGTAATATAATGCTGACCATTTCACAAAATTACATGTTCTGGTCTTTGAAGATGTGTTTAATTGTTTCAAAGAAAGCTGAATTTTTTAATTTAACTTGAAGCTTAAAACAGCAATTAAGAAGAGTTTTCTGATCAGCTATTTAAACGTAATGCTGCCTACTTTGATCAAGAGATGATAGAAACTAGATGGAGGATAATCTTGAGAAATTCGGAAAATTGAAGAAATAGTTCGAAGGAAATGATCAATTTAATTTTGAATATCCTTTTAACAAAATCGACAAGCTATAGTTACAAAGATTTAAATTAGTTGACCTAATTTCTCAAAATTTATCCATATATTTTGGAAATATTAACCCAGAACTCACAATTTCACCTGGACTCCTGTCATCAAGCTTTACAGAGAAACTGGCCAGTTGTGTATAACTGTCACAGAGATATAGTCATCAAGCTTTACAGAGACCATGATTTCATTTTGTATAATATCACCATCACCAAGGCATTTTGTGACCGGGCATCTGCATGGGAATCGTCATCAAGAATCATCAACATCTGCTTTACGTCACTAATTAATATACCTGTGTAGATCTTTCGTTCATATATCGATCACATGCAGAAAAAGAATACAATCTATATTATATACCAGATATAGAAAATATAACCACAATCTAATTATGTTATGCAGAGAAACTTTCTATGCTTACATATATATATTTCTTTAGAATTAGTAGATCTTCAATTATCTTCTACTTACTTTTCAGTTTGATCTGTTATGGTGAACTTCATATAATTACCAGTTTCCAGTAGAAAACTTAGTAAATTTAATATATATACATGTATTTACTAGGGTTCACATTTCTTTATATTATAGCAGAGTATTACAATTCCACTTCCCTTAGGCTTGGGCTAGTTGATTTTATGTCGGGGTTTGTGATTTTTTTTAATATTTACGAAATTATAGGTCACGCGAGAAGAATTTTTCAAAATCTACCTGTTGGCTTTTTCTCTGAATATAAAATTGTACACTTGTGATTATAGTGCTGAATATCAGAATTGTTATGGAAATACTTGTCTCTGCAGTATAGAAATGTTCTTTGTACTGCAGAAAATTATAATGTCATATATATATACACGTACCTGTAGGTCAATAGGTATGCCAGGTAGCATAAGCACAATATTATTGTGTACACTAAAAGTTTACCTTTCACTGCAGCTCATTTTACACACAATAACAGGGCTTAATAGATTTATGACTTTATTGCGTGGTGAATCCCTGTCACCACATGTACACACTTAAGGGGTGGGGTGGGGGCTGAACTTACAACTGTATGAACATTTACGAAATTGTGGCATATATATATAACACATGAAATATACATATAAGTAGGGTTAGAACAACCTTTTGATGGTATTTACACATTGTACAATCTGCCAAAAAAATATGTTATGTACTATGGCAGAAAAAATAAATATGTGGCAAATCTGGCTTGGCAGATGTTCAAAATAAGTTCACATGTAGACTGGACTGGGAGGGATTCTACAGGCAATTCTAATACATGTATCAGTGCAGTTGTTATCAGTGTACCTGTTTACCCTGCCTACTGTTATATCAATCGGTAGAAATGAAATTGCAGGTGAATTTCCAAAAATAGCTGTTCCTGTTTTCCATCAATATATGACCTGCTTGAGACAAAATATTCAAAAGGTCACTAACAATACATATATATATATATGCTTGCCAAAACTTAAATGCAAGGTCAGCAGTGACAGTGTTTGCTTTTTACAATTCTTTCACTGACTCACAAAAATCATTAAACTTATATAAGCCAGCACATATATTAGAAATTTTAAACATGCTGTTCATGCGATTATATGTTCATGAACTTTATATTAAAGTTTATAGTGCTCTGGATTTTACTGTTGAGAATGAAGGCATGTTAGGATTTTGAGAAGTATTAAATGCTTACCTCTGATTAACTGTATGATGAAGATCTCCATAGCATTCGTCATTGGGTTTAGTAATGTACAGCTTTAATAGTTATAGATTATGTGGCACCCTGCAGGGTTGAAGCAAAAGATCCATGCAGTGCATGGTCCGTCAACAACATCCTTCTGATGTGATTAGAACAGATTTAAATGGTTAATAGAGGAATTTTGTTGAATTTGGCTTAATGTACAATAAAGGATATAGACAAGTATTTGAAAATGTCTAAAATCTGAAATAATTTTAACATTATATAGAAATGCAAACCTTGAAATGAGTCCCAGTGCAAAAAGGATGAGTCCAGGGACTTGAAATTTTGCGAAAAATTACTGAGTTGTCTAAATATCAAAACCAATTTTCAAATTAAAATTTGAGCTGTTGAAGTAGGCTAAATTGTTAATTTTTTGGAATGTACACATATACATTGCCATGTGTTGGCATGGTGATTTGTAGTGGAGGAGGTGGCCCTTTCTTGACTGATGATCGGAAGAACAACAGGTGGAAATTCAGTCAGCCTCGCAGAGCAACAGCACTGCTATAGCTACCTAATGTATGTACTCTTGATATATATATGTCGGGATAAGATCTGGAGTGTTTCCTATACTGCTAACCACAGCTGTCGCAGGCTATATGTGTAAAGATCTCAAGATATTCACTGTATGCCAAGCTGTCTGTTCAAGCATAAATAATCTCTTTCTTTACCATGATATTTTGAAATGTTAATTAACATGCATCAGACTTAATATGTTAGTTTTCATGAATTTATCATTTAATTAAATTTTTTGTTCTAATTAGTGAAATATTATCATAAAATGTTATTGATTCAATTTTAATTTGATGTACCTATTTTTATTTTTATTTTTTTCAAATAGTGAAATGGAATGATTTTGAATTGATCAACATGTTCAACAATGAATTATGTTCAGTGTAACAGAGACCAATAGTAGATATATACACAGATAAGAGTATTAATATATACCCTACCATATGTGTACTGACCCAAGCTAAACCTGAACAGTGTACCTTATTTTTAACAGCAGCTGTGCTACTGTAGCTCAATATTTCTCCCTACAGATCTCCAAAGTATAGATCAACAAAACCGACAGGTATATTATTGCTGATAGCTGTCTGTACCTTGGTGTCGTATAGTATTTTATAATCATGTGTGATAATCGTAGTGCTGGAGACTGTTGTATATAATGCTACGTGTAGTAGGTCACATGTTGTTTTGTCGAGTATTGTACAGATATTCATACAGCATCAACTGAACAAATTGCCGTCCTCCAAGCGTAAACGAATGAATTTTTTTTTGTGCATGAATATTGTTTGTCCCAATGTGTATACTTACTGAACTATAATATGCACATTCAAATATGATATAACAAAATGGCACACTTTGAATACGTAGCTATGTTTTGCTCCCATAAAAACCCAATTATGTTGTATTTTTTCATTTTTAAAACAGCAATTAGAAAACCCCCCTACCATCCCGCCCNATCAGAAAACATGATTTATCATAAAGCAAATACTAATTAGTCAAATAACTTTCACTTGTCATACTTAATACTCTATCAAAGCAGGTCATGCCATTTGCTATACAATGTACTAAAAGGGAAGATATGTATGGATGTTATATATATGTATTGACTAAATGCCAAAGACTTAGAAGTATAACCAATATTGATCCTTTATATCCATGCAAAGAATCCACATGGTCCTGGTACAGCTTGCATCCCATTATGATGGGATTTTGAAGTATGTCAAAATAATGAGATTGACTTGTATATTTTACTGGTCATAATTCATTTAGTCATTTTTGATTTACAACAAGAAAAGCATGCTAATGATACTTAAAAATACAGAAAAAACCAGTGCAGACCCACCATTAAAATGTTTAACTGGACATGTACTGGTTTGGTTAACATTGAGTGACACAAAAAGCCAGGTATTGTGTGTGGTAACTATAAACAATCTATTTGTATAAGCAACTTCACCAACTCTTGCCTTTAAATGCATGCATACCTTGCACACAAGAAAAATACAGTATTTATCCAATAATAAGCCGATGTCTGTTGATAAGCCCACCCATATATATTGCAGTTCAGAAATAATGCCAATAAATATTATTTCATTGTCCTGTAATAAGCCCACCCCTTAGTTTGAGTCGGAAATCGTGTCGGGGGCCCCCGGGGCTTGTGGCAGGATAAATATGGTATTTTAAAGTTAAGAGCAACAAGTTTGGTTATTTTCTGTATTACAATACATAAGTTGAGATATCAATCTATGTATTTTCTTCAGATGGTAACATAAAAAGGATAAATATTTAAAATTTATGTTGAAGTTTGCAACAGTATTCCGGGTTCATGGTGGCTTCATCATTCACTCCTGAAGACACATTTGAACTCTTCCAATTTATAGGTTGGAATAGTTCATAAAAAAAATTCAGGGGTGAATGATTTAAGGTCAGACAAATCAATGGAAGGAGCTGTTTGCATCATAAACTGCATAAATACACTGTACCTAACTTTCTATGGTGTCTGGATACTTAAATCCCTGCTGGAAGTCTAGCTACTGTGTATCAATACTAACATTGATCAAAGGCTTGAAACATTAAATACATCAGATAAACTTCAAAGAGAATTTCCAAATTTATTTACCAACATCACGCTAAAGTGAAGTTAATTAAGTACTTGTGTTAAAACAAGTTCCTATCCGAATACCGGTCCAAATAATAGTAATGATTATAAAAAATGTGTTGTATTGTACTTGCCTCAAGCTGATGTCGACATTCAAGTGCATGTGCACTTCTTTATTTTATATATTTATACATATACCGTATATTAGTTTGGCTTGTCTATCATGTTTGGCTTGTATGAATTGGCTGTAGTTTTCCTATAATTACCGTAGTTTCACTCGGACTGCAGCAGTGTGTGTCAGTGTTTACGGGAATGTTTCACTGTTACTCTCACTCACCATTCACAGTTCCTCTATAGCATGATTGATCACTCAAAGGCATGGCATTTCTTCCTTCAGTTCTTCCTTATTATCCTCCTGCTTGTCCTATTCCTCTTTCTCTGCTTCCTTGTCCTTGCTTTCTTCATCTTCTCTAGATCTCTGCTCATCCTCTTTCTCTTCCTTGCAGCCTTGCTATTCCTCAGTCGTCCCTTTTCTGCTTGTCTACTTTTTCTCCTCAATGACTTGCTGTTCCTTGTCCTCATTCTGTACATCCTCTTTCTCCTCCCATCCTCCTCCCATCCTCCTCCCCCTTGACTCCTGTGTGTTTTATGTTCTTGTGTGATGCTCCCTGTTATGAGATTGTTTTTGTGGCATGCACAGCGTACACTTTTCTTACAGTTGACTCCCGAAGCTTTGGATGTTGTAACTACCCATGATGTCACGCCTCCTCTAACCTCGTCATCCTCTGGTCATGCACCAGTGAACTCTCAGTTGCCAGCTACTGCACTTGAATTCCTTGGGCCAGAAATGGCAGACCTTCAGCAGCTTTTATCCTCCATCATGACAGGTAACCATTTTATATTTAGATTACAGGTAGATGTAGATAGACCTGGATTATACATACAGGTAGATAAAACTTGATTGTACAGGTAGATACACCTTGATTATACTGATAGATGCATCTTAATTATACAGCTAGGTTTGCATTGATTAAACAGCTAGATACACCTTAATTATATAGGTAGATACACTTTAATTATACCGGTAGAAACACCTATATTAAACATTATGATATGCATTAATTATACAGGTAGATACACATTGGTTATACAGGTAGATACACAATGGCTATACAGGTAGGTACACCTTGATTATACAGGTAGACACACCTTGATTATACAGGTATATGCACATTGGTTATACAGGTATATATACATTGGTTATACAGGTAGAAACACCTTTGTTATACAGGTAGAAACACCTTGGTTATTCAGGTAGATACACCTTGGTTATACAGGTAGATACACCATGGTTATACAGGTAGAAACACCTTGGTTATACAGGTAGATATAACTTTGTTATACAGGTAGAAACACCTTTGTTATACAGGTAGATATAACTTTGTTATACAGGTTGAAACACCTTTGTTATACAGGTAGAAACACCTGTGTTATACAGGTAGAAACACCTTGGTTATACAGGCAGAAACACCTTGGTTATACATGTAGAAACACCTTGGTTATACAGGTAGAAACACTTTTGTTATACAGGTAGAAACACCTTTGTTGTACAGGTAGAAACACCTTTGTTATACAGGTAGATATAACTTTGTTATACAGGTAGAAACGCCTTTGTTATACAGGTAGAAACACCTTTGTGTTATACAGGTAGAAACACCTTGGTTATACAGGCAGAAACACCTTGGTTATACATGTAGAAACACCTTGGTTATACAGGTAGAAACACCTTGGTTATACAGGCAGAAACACCTTGGTTATACATGTAGAAACACCTTGGTTATACAGGTAGAAACACCTTGGTTATACATGTAGAAACACCTTGGTTATACAGGTAGAAACACCATGGTTATACAGGTAGAAACACCTTAGTTATACAGGTAGAAACACCTTTGTTATACAGGGAGAAACACCTTTGTTATACAGGTTGAAACACCTTGGTTATACAGGTAGAAACACTTTTGTTATACAGGTAGAAACACCTTTGTTATACAGGTATAAACACCTTTGTTATACAGGTAGAAACACCATGGTTATACAGGTAGAAACACCTTAGTTATACAGGTAGAAACACCTTTGTTATACAGGTAGAAACGCCTTTGTTATACAGGTAGAAACACCTTTGGTATACAGGTAGAAACACCTTTGTTATACAGGTCGAAACACCTTTGTGTTATACAGGTAGAAACACCTTGGTTATACATGTAGAAACACCTTGGTTATACAGGTAGAAACACTTTTGTTATACAGGTAGAAACACCTTTGTTATTCCGGTAGAAACACCTTGGATATACAGGTAGAAACACATTTGTTATACAGGTAGATACACCATGGTTTTACAGGTAGACACACCATGGTTATACAGGTAGACACACCTTGGTTAGACAGGTAGAAACACCATGTTTAGACAGGTAGAGGTAGAAACACATTTGTTATACAGGTAGATACACCATGGTTTTACAGGTAGACACACCATGGTTATACAGGTAGATACACCATGGTTATACAGGTAGAAAAACCTTTGTTATACAGGTAGAAACATCTTGGTTATACAGGTAGATATAACTTTGTTATACAGGTAGAAACGCCTTTGTTATACAGGTAGAAACACCTTTGTTGTACAGGTAGAAACACCTTTGTTATACAGGGAGAAACACCTTTGTTATACAGGTTGAAACACCTTGGTTATACAGGTAGAAACACTTTTGTTATACAGGTAGAAACACCTTTGTTGTACAGGTAGAAACACCTTTGTTATACAGGGAGAAACACCTTTGTTATACAGGTTGAAACACCATGGTTATACAGGTAGAAACACCTTTTATATACAGGTAGATACACCTTGGTTATACAAGTAGATATAACTTTGTTATACAGGTAGAAACGCCTTTGTTATACAGGTAGAAACACCTTTGGTATACAGGTAGAAACACCTTTGTTATACAGGTTGAAAAACCTTGGTTATACAGGTAGAAACACCTTGGTTATACAGGTAGATATAACTTGGTTATACAGGTAGAAACACCTTTGTTATACAGGGAGAAACACCTTTGTTATACAGGTTGAAACACCATGGTTATACAGGTAAAAACACCTTGGTTATACAGGTAGAAACACCTTTGTTTTACAGGTAGAAACACCTTTGTTATACAGGTAGAAACACCTTTGTTATTCCGGTAGAAACACCTTGGATATACAGGTAGAAACACATTTGTTATACAGGTAGATACACCATGGTTTTACAGGTAGACACACCATGGTTATACAGGTAGACACACATTGGTTAGACAGGTAGAAACACCATGTTTAGACAGGTAGATAACCCTTGGTTTTAAAGGTAAATACACCTTAGTTATACAGGTAGATACACCATGGTTATACAGGTAGAAACACCTTTTATATACAGGTAGATACACCATGGTTGTACAAGTAGATATAACTTTGTTATACAGGTAGATACACCATGGTTATACAGGTAGACACACCATGGTTATACAGGTAGACACACATTGGTTAGACAGGTAGAAACACCATGTTTAGACAGGTAGATAACCCTTGGTTTTAAAGGTAAATACACCTTAGTTATACAGGTAGATACACCATGGTTAGACAGGTAGATACACCTTGGTTATACAGGTAGACACCCATTGGTTAGACAGGTAGATAACCCTTGGTTAGACAGGTAGATACACCATGGTTAGGCAGGTAGACACACCATGGGTATACAGGTAGACACACCTTGGTTAGACAGGTAGAAACACCATGGTTAGACAGGTAGATAACCCTTGGTTTAAAAGGTAAATCCACCTTGGTTATACATGTAGATACACCATGGTTAGACAGGTAGATACACATTGGTTATACAGGTAGACACCCATTGGTTATACAGGTAGATACACCAGGTAAGGCAGGTAGATAGACCATGGTTATACAGGTAGATAACCATTGGTTATACAGGTAAATACACCTTGATTAAACATGTAGATACACATTGATTATAAAGGTAGATAATCCTTGATTATACATCTAGATATGCATTGATTACACAGATAAAATCCAACTAAATTCAATAGGTAGACACCTTTATTAAACATCTAGATATGAATTATTATACAGGTAGGTACACCTTAATTATACAGGTAGACACACCTTGATTAAACATCTAGATATGCATTGACTATACAGATAAATACACCTTAATTATACAGGTAGACACACCTTTTTTGAACATCTAGGTACACCTTAATTATACAGGTAGACGCACCTTTTTTGAACATCTAGAAACACCTTAATTCTACAGGTAGACACACCTTCATTATATAGCTAGATATGCATTGGTTATACAGGTAGATATACCTTGGTTCATAATGCAGGTAAATACACCATGGTTATACAGGTAAATACACCATGGTTATACAGGTAGATACACCATGGTTATACAGGTATATACACCATGGTTATACAGGTAGACACACCATGGTTATACAGGTAGATACACCATGGTTATACAGGTAGATACACCATGGTTATACATGTAGATACACCATGGTTAGACAGGTAGATACACCTTGGTTATACAGGTAGATACAACTTAATTATACAGCTAGATCTGCATTGATTATACAAGTAAATATACCTGGGTTAGACAGGTAGATACACCATGCTTATACAGGTAGACACACCTTGGTTAGACAGGTAGATACAACATGGTTAGGCAGGTAGACACACCATGGGTATACAGGTAGACACACCTTGGTTAGACAGGTAGAAACACCATGGTTAGACAGGTAGATAACCCTTGGTTTTAAAGGTAAATACACCTTGGTTATACAGGTAGATACACCATGGTTAGACAGGTAGATACACCATGGTTATACAGGTAGAAACACCTTGGTTAGACAGGTAGATACACCATAGTTAGACAGGTAGACACACCTTGGTTATACAGGTAGATACACTTTGGTTAGACAGGTAGACACACCTTGATTATACAGGTTGATACACCTTAATTATACAGCTAGATATGCATTGTTTATACAAGTAGATATACCTGGGTTAGACAGGTAGATACACCATAGTTATACAGGTAGATACACCTTCACGTTATAACGATATAACCTGACAGTATATATGATGTCTGTATATATCTCTGTTACTCCCTAGAGACAGCTAACACCTGTCCAATGAAGTCTACTGTTATAAATATAACTGTATTTTGTATACTTGACTTGTATACGACACATTATCACTCAGCTTATGTATACTGGTACTTTCAATGCATCACTCATTTCGTCCCTGCTGAATTGAGAAATCGTTATTTCAGTATCACAGATGTAATGTTGCCTAGCTAGCGTGCTAGCCTATGCATGCTGCTATCATTACGCGTACGATATGACAAGGCTTTGATCAAAAGAAAGTCATACCTTGATAATATCTTCTAGCATGGTTATGTAACTGAAACATTTTGACATCACATTGTCACTCGTTCATAAAAGAAATGTAGATTATTGAGTTTCTGAAATTTCACACCTGAAGTGTTGGTTGTTTAATAAACACAGCAGGGCCCATATATGCTCGGGGATATACACCCTAATACTGCAAGATAATTGTAGGAAAGAAGTTGCTGTTAACCTGTAACTTCCTGGTCGTGGTATACTTACAGATTTTACCGTCATTTAAACGGATAAGTAATTATAAACAATTCAAATGTTACCTACGAAAAGTGTAGGAAGTAGTTGTAATTTACTAGATATTCAGTTTGATCACATTTTCAATTGTCATTTCCGCTGTGTAAATTGTATATAACTGATATAGCTGGGACATTTTGTGG